TTTTTTTTAAACTCACGTGACATCAGATAGGAGTGATGTGCTACGTTTTCTTTACATGCAATCATTGCAATATGCTTTTCAAACGTTTGGTTGTTATTATTGGATTTCATTCTCATCAGCTACCGAATCAAGTCCCTTTTGAAATGGAAAATCCCACAGACTGCTTCTCTCATGATCATCGGCCATGTGCTCACCTGTCAGATGCTTTTAGATGGCTCTTCCCCCACCCGCTCCCGCTGTGTGGAAGTTTGAAGATGTGCTGTGCATGTGTGTCAGCACTGCCAACTGCCATTACTTTGCAGTTGTGCGGAAGTGGCGTGTAGTTTGTGAGAAGAAGATCACTCAGTCCCTGTGTTGTGGTGCAGCTGCTGTGTTACCTGGCTCCATAGCCATTCTTGGGAGCGTCAGTCCGGTTCCCTTTCCACCGGCAAGTCAAGAGAATACAACAATATACGCACACACGCTTCCTTCCGTCTGTCCGAAGGGCCCCTGAACAGCATTGATTACTCCATTTTGTGGAGCGTTGACTGTCATCTTGCCTCTGTACCCAAAGTCCTCTCAGCTGGTGTGTACCCCTGCTGCCAGGTATACATCAAGCTCAAGACTTTGAGAGCGGAGAGTCCCTGTCCCGACTCGAATGCTCATTGTTTTTTTGCTTAGCCTATTTGTGCCCTCTCCCCTGTCTGTCCATGTGTGCCTTACTGATGCCTTCTGTGGTCCCCTGGTTGGTCGGCTGAACCCAGATCACTTGTGGTTCTTCTTGCATCCAGGAAGTCTCCTGGCCTGATGCTATGTCTGAGTTGTGCCAGTCCTTCCATCTCAAGTTAAGTCCATTTAGCCATGCCACTTTGCCTCCATTTGAAATTTGCCAGCGCCACCTCTCTTGTCTCTGGACTGTTCTGCACCCATGTTTTGACCTTCTTCCACTGGATTAGGATTTCCAGCGATTTCCGCCTCAATCATCCCTTAAGTGACAGCCCAAACCTTCTCCCTTGGATTCCTGGAGTCCAACTTTCTGCTGCATCTCTCTTTTTCCAACTGGCCCAGAGTGTGACCTTGCATATCATACCGAACCAGATCCTTTCCGATTTGCTCAGGTTAGGGGGTAAGTTCAATGCTGTCCACTCGGGCCTCTCAGCCATAATGGAGAGGAGCGTGGTGTGTGTTTTATTGTATTCATCTTTGACTTGCCGGGGGATTAGGAACCAGACTGTCGCGCCCCAGAATGGTAGGAGCCAGAACCGAGAGGTTCTGCTATTAAAAAAAAAACTTCATTAAAAAAAAAAGAAGGAAAAAAACAGGTTAGGGGGTTAAGTTAGTTCAGAGGAGAAGTTGGAGGGGGTGTTCAGGGAGAGGGGATAGGAAAAAAAGGCTGTCCCATAGATCAGATGCCGTCGCCCAGTATTCCGTGGCTTCTTTGCAACTGATTAGGCAACGAATCATGTCTTCTTGTTCCTGGTCTGAGCAGGCTTTACAAATATCAGAGCTTCCCGGATCGTCCTTCCTCCTTCTGATTTGCAGCCATTGATTTACTGGCAGTGCAGCGTATGCTACAAGCCACTGCATGCTTCTGAGCTTAATTGGTCTTATGGTTTTGTACTTTTTTCCATGGGTTCTTAGAAATTTGTTCTGAATCGGTGCCAATTAGCTTACTCCTCCTGCTCTTGATTTCTGGTTCTGGGTCCTTTGTTTTCAAGAGCATCTTGTACCCTACTTTGACCGTATACGGCGTATAGTCAAAAATAGAAATGGGGGGTTTGTTGGTGCTGCCTCCCTCAGGGAGACACACCCATTCCTGACGATCAAATTCTAGATCCTGAATTGATTCTCCGATCGGGAAGATCTGTTTCGGCCACAAACCGAATACCCTTACTTTGCGAAGTGTGAAACTCTGA